ATGCATCTCATGAACTGGAACATGATGGGGATAAGACTAAGTAAATAACATACAAAGACAAACATATATTTTTCAAACTGAACTTATTTTTAAAGAAATTACAGACAAAATTGTTTGTGGAAAGAAAAGTTCAGGGAGAAAAGGTAGATGTCCAAGCTCTTTTTCTTAGACAAGACCATGGTATTATACATCTACCTGGACTCTGGATTTTAAAGAATAGGGAATGTTCTCAATCTCAGTCTTTCAACTTCTGCCTGAAGAATTTCAAACTGTTCTTCCTGCTCCTTTACCAGACCCCGCAGGTGTTTCTGCTTCAAAATCTCTCGGTAACGCTGCTTTGCCATCTTTTCAGAAACACGTGTGTCTGCATAAAACAAAACCCAAGGGTTAGCCTGTACTTGCAGGGGGTGCACAGTCTATGTTTATATTGGACCTGCCCCGGAGTTATTCCAAGTTCAGTATAAAATAGGCAAGCGTTTTTTAAAAGGCTCGCAGTTGGGCTTAAGAGTCTTTATAGTACGGAATAAAGTAAAAAATTTCAAAAAGGCTCTGGGCATGCTTCTTTTAGTTGCCAGCAAGCATGCGCTGTTTTGAAAATCTATAACTCTTACTGGTGGAAAGACCTCTACAGTTTTCCTAATAGCGAATACCCTTCTCAGCTTCATGTTACTCCATTCCCTTCAATGGGTAGAAAGAAGTGGGTTGAGCAGTTCTGAGAAAGAATAAAAGCATGTTGTCTAATGAAGATATTAATGACTATAATATTTGGACTTAAATAGTTTCAGCAATTTAGTCAGTTAACTTTGGTTACAAGAACAACAATCTCTAGGCTTGCTCTTAAATATATGATGTTAAATTGTTGTGGTAGAAAGGGCACTGCTAGTTGTGCACGTACAGTAATAGTAGGTGCTCCTTGCCCCTTAGCTGATGCTGATGGAGAACAGGACCATCTAGCTCTGAAGATATTTTCTGAAAGTTTTTTGCTTGTGACTTAAAGCGCGTTATTGTGACTCACCGGCTGCCTCAATGATGTGCCTCCTTTCCGAAACAGAGACAAGCATTTCTTTCAGCTCCAGGCTGAGCTCATAGTTTGCTTGCTCCTTTAAACTGATGCACTTCTCCAACTCTTTAATTCTTTTCTGACGGTTCTTCACATTCTTCTTGTGCAGCTGTCCATTTCCAAATGAATAAAGCAAATATAGGAGCTTATACAAAAGCTGTTCAGACAAACTTTTGGTGGAAACCTATAATCTTAAGCACTGCATTGTATCTCAATAAACTTCCATGTATTTTGATTTGACTAGTAGCACATTCTGACTTTACTTTGTGTAATGTCTTTTACACCCACTGTATTCCAGAACTCTTTATGGAGTTCTAATATAGCAGACAAGAAACAAAGAGGTATGGGTCAGGGGGAGAGACAGATTAAAGATAAAACTTGAAAGGCAAAGGTAGGAAAGGAAGTCAATGGAATCAGTGAGTTGAGAACACTCTCTTGGCTGCTAGGAGCTGCTGAAGAAACGGTGGTTGCGCTGAAGCTGTCGGATGGGCTGTAAAGATAAATACTAAAGCTTGAAAAGGAAAAGGAGGCTGATGCCAGCTAGAGCAACCTGGAGAAAATCCAGTGGAATCACTGAAAAACAAGGATAATCATAATTTGAATGTTGAAATAGATGAGAGCCAGCAAATTAGATTGTCATCTCTCTTTTATTCTGAATATAAGAGGAGAGTGATATTATGAACAGGCTGGCACTCCTGGAGAGAAACATTAAGCAGTGAAGATTGGAATGATGCTTCGTTAGAAATGGAAGAGTGACTTTTATAGGCAATGCTGTGTAAGAGGTGATAAATTCTGCATTCAGACATTCAGGAAGGAAAGCATTTAACTCCAGTGACAGAGCCAGTAGATTTCTCTCCATGGAGCTGATCTATGCAGCAATCAATATATGACTGCTTCCAAAGACTTTAGAGAACTGCTGCTGCAGACAGCTCAGCGCAAGTTGAGGAAACTATTGAAAGCCGGATTAATAAATACATGGATATATATATTCATCCGTGTGCGCTGTTATGGTTATGCTCCAACATAGTCCTTGAGTTAGCCGAAAAGTTAGTATTCCTACATCAGTTGCAGTTATTCCTTACAAACACCTCTTGCTAACGAAGGAGAGGAGTTGTGTTTAAACTAAAAATGTGTGTCTCAAATGTGATAGTTTGCTCAGGTTTTACCTTATCCATGACACCCAGAGTCTGCTCCTTCACCGAAATGTGGTGGGCAATGTGGCTGTCATAATTCAGCACAGTTAGGAACTGAAGGATTAAAAACAGAAAGAAACCATTTTATTAATCCTGTTTATTCTCAACAATTCCACACCTCTGTAAAAGACAATCATACTATATGAAACTCAGAAAACTAGAATTCTGCATAGTGGAAAGGCTTACTAGTGATCATGAATAGTCATGGTAAAGATATTATTGGATGCTGTGTGAATATTAGACTGTACAGCTGTTAAAAAGAATGTTATCTATTATGTGTTAATGGAAACAAAGACCAAGCAAACTGGTTGTGAGGTTGTCAGAAAACCCAAGCTATACTTTTGCCTATAAGGTAGTCTAAGCTAACATAGCTGGAGGCCAAAGTGCTATACAGTCTGTCTTTAGACCAGAGAAAAAAGTGATTCTTTTCTGTCAAGTGGCTTCATAGTAATTCGTACTTCTTTTATTGTTCTTATATCTGCATAATAATTTAGGTTTTGAAGAATTTATTAAAGATCTTTTCTTGGGCACACTGCTACTAAAATATCTCTTTATCACGTGACAAATGGTAAAACAGGCTGTATGACCATAATGGGCAGGTTTCTATAGATGTAGATTCATC